TGTTGCAAATTCAGTGATGTGTTGGATGAGACAGATGTAGAAGTGAGACTTGCCGCACAGATCATTCCTAAGAAAGAAAGTTTTAAGTATCTATGCCAAACTTTTGTAATCTGTCAACTGTAGCATGCCTCTTTATTTTGTAATTAGTGTTCAAATCCAAAGGCAATACTTTAATTATCCTAATATACATTTGATTTCAGATATTTTAATGTTAAAGACAAATAATAAATGCCTAAAATCCTTTGTATTATTAGTTTACATCAATTGACTAATAAAATTTTGTAAGACTATTATAAAGATTTGTTACACTTTATTTTTTGGGTCCAGATAAGGTATTCTTCATTTGTTCGATTTTGGTTGTGGCCATTTTGCATCTTAGTACTATGAGTGGATATCACAATTATTATGTACCAAAATAGATGTTTGGAATCATTTTAATACTTAGATTCCTATGTGATATGATAGAGGCAGCAATATAGGACAAAAAATAAAGGGATAAATAAGACATCTTTAAGTAAACGTAAAAAAAATTAAAATACTTTCCATTCATAATTTTACATGTTTTAATTCGAAGAGAATAAAATTTGGTGTGAACTCACATTAATCAGAGATTCAAAGTGGATATCAATTATTAAGGTGAAAAATTCAAAAAAGTATCATTATTATGAAGAATCAAAGAGAGTTTTAATTTTTATTAGGAGTATAACTTTTTAAAAATATTTTAAGTTATTATATTATACCCTTCATTTTTTTTATGTATCACTCTTTTTTTTAGTCAATCTAAAAAAGAATAATATGTTTGTATGTTTAATAACAATTTGACTAAATCATAGACTTGTTAATTAAGTAGTTGGCTTGGGTCATGATACAATGCAAAAATCGATAAAGGATTGTGATAAAGTAATAAATAATCTTTCATCTTTAATCAGAAGTCTCGAATTCAAGTCCCTCAATGTTTTATCCTCAATAAGTCCTTTTGAGAACTTATCACTTTACTACCATCTTTTTGTTTATTTTATTACTAAAAGAAATATTTGATTATAAAATACTTTTTTACTTCTAATAAAATAATTTTTACAATCACACATTATATTAGATCACAATTTTCAAAATTTTTATTTCTTAAATATTGTACCCAATCAAATACCTTCACAAGAATTAAAACAAAAGAAATATTATTTATAATGTCTTTTTCAAATATATATATATATATATATATATAAAGAATATTAAATTCACAAAACATTAATAATTTAATTCTCGTACTCGGAACCATGCCCCATAAATGGAAGAAAGGGACATGGCTATAGCTTTTCCCATAGGTCAAAACACAGAATCGTCCTTGCTTGAAAGTACACCAAATTAACCACAATGTCTAATGTCTACCATAAATCCATAAGAATAATAATGTAAATTAATTAAGGCCAAAATACATATTAATTAACTTTTTCCTTATTCCAATCGTAAAATCTAATAGAGACATTACTGTAGATATTCTGACTAAAACAACTAGACATTACATGCCCTCAGAGAATGTTGTGCCGTGTTAAATATTCTTTTTTTTTTGTGTCTTAATTTGATTCTAAGAATAGATTGAATCGATAGGTTCAACATAGATTTGTTATGAAATATGTCGTCATTAGTTATCGAACATCACATAATAAGTATATCAAGATTAGTATCTCAATAAAAAAAAATAGGGAAAATTAGCAATTAAGTCATAATACCTAACATAATTAGTCAAAATAACAACACTTTAAAATATTTATTTAAAATGACAGAATGACAATATTTTTATAAAATAATATGTATTCAGATTTTAGTATTTTAAATTAATTTTATTTATCGAAAGAGTCCTATATTAGACCAAATTATATATCAATAACCGTTTAAAGTGAAAAAAAATAACTAAACCAATACCATTAACCTTTTTTCATCACCATTCACGTTTCTTCCCCAACTTTCACGTTTCTTCCCCACCTTTCACGTTTCAAGTTTATATTTCTTCAAAGTGCTAAATTGTTGTTCATCAAGAAATTTTCTTTATTGTTAAACGAAATCTCTTTATTAATTCAAGCAGATTTCTCGGTTGGCAAGGTAATTTCCATTATCAATTTTGATTTTTTTTTAATTTGATGTTTGAATCACTGATTCTATATATTACGGATTTTCAGTCAAATTTTTCAATTTTTATGTGATTTTTTTCAAATATTCATCATATATTTATTAATTTCATTTTTTTTTGTGATTTTCTTTTAATTTTTCAGATTTTGTAGGTTCTAGAAATTCATATATATGTTTGTTTTGTTTGGTATTTAATACATTTTAAAATTTGATAATATCGAAATTTGCTTTTAGGGTTTTAGATTATGGGGAAAGCATCTGATTGTCTACAATGACTGATTCAATCAGAATTACTAGAGGTATACCAAATAATATTCAAAATTTTGGGAAATTTCCCTCATTTGATTTGTGTATTACCCAAGGGTTGTATTGTATTTCAATCTCAATTAGTATACCAACATGTTTGTATTTCCTTCTTAATTTGTATTCATCCTAATTGTATGCTAACAATTTTGTATTTTATTGGGTATTCATTCTGTATTTCAATCTCAATTTATATGTGAACAAGTTTGTATTTCTCTTTTATTTTGTATTCAACCTAATTGTATACCAACAAGTTTTGTATTTTATGTGCCTACTTTACCTTTCAAAGTCACTTTGTATTTCAAATGAAGAGAGTATTTAATTTCTTTTGTATTCACAACTTTATATTCAATCTCACTTTGTATTTATAACTTTGTATTTTCATCTCATTTTTGTATTCATATATTGTTGTATTCAACATATAATTCATGATCCATTAGTTTGTATTTTACCTTTCAAAGTCACTTTGTATCTCAAATGAAGAGAGTATTTCTTTTGTATTCACAACTTTATATTCAATCTCACTTTGTATTTATAACTTTGTATTTTCATCTCACTTTTGTATTCATATATTGTTGTATTCAACATATAGTTCATGATCGATTAGTTACATTCACTTAATGGGATACAAATTATAGTTCATGATCGATTAGTTACATTCACTTAATGGGATACAAATTATTGTATGCATTCAAACAGAAAAAACAGCTACTAAACTAAAAAAAAACAATTTCATTCGTTATACATCATAATTTGGATACAAAACATCCGAGAAAAGCTATAAATCCCAATGCATTCAAAGATTTCACTGATTCAATAAGGAAAAAAACACAACACTCTTGTACTCGACATATACGAATATCTCATCCAAACAAATAAAAAAATAAAAAAATACCCGATTATTTTTCGATTGTTCACTGGATGCGACAAATTCATAGTTGTCAATTTTAAAAAATTATGTTTCAAAAATATGTTGTATTCAACTTAAAGAAGTTTTGAAAGTTATCAGATAAATGATTCGGAAGACAAACTAAACTATTTTAATTTTTTTTTTTGATGTTCTTAAGAAGAAAGCAAAAAAACGCTTGACAGAAAGATGTCTATTTATGCTCTTTTCAAAACGTAACTGATTTGTATTTAAATTTTTTTTTACCTTTTTTGATTTTTTTTTGTTCCATGATTTTCTCTGTTCTGTTATTAATTATTTGTATTCTTTCAAATTAATCAAAATAAAATAAATACATAATTAATCCCTTAACAAACTAAAATAATGACATTTTTAATAAATAATAAAACTGTTACTAAGAAGTCCCACTAAAAGCTAAAATATTGCTCTTTTGAAAAATTTCCCAAAAAATTATACCAATTTCAACTAAAACCAACAACCAAACACAAGATAAAATGCAATTCCAATATTTCTTATATTTTACTTTTGTAAAACCAGAATTTTTTTCTTGTTGCTTGAATGTTAACTATTAAATCAAAATAGAATATTACAACTATAATATACATTTTGGAGAGAAGTATTGAAAACAACCTTAAACTTGGTGTGAATTGTTAGTTTCATCCTTAAATTATTGACAGTTTTTAAAACACCCCTCTACTTGATTAACTGAACTTAAATATACCCACGATCTGCCACATGACATAACAAGTGGTTTCAACTCTCAAACTCTTGTAGGAGCATGAGACTATTAATAAAAAGCCAAGAGAAGTGTTGAATATATTCCTAAACTTAGCAAGAATTTAGGAGTGTACTACAACCATGTGGTAGGATCAGAGGTGTATTTAAGTTTATTTAGTCAAGTAGAAGGATATTTTAAGGCGGTCAATAGTTCAGAAACAAAAGTAACAATTCACGCAAAGTTCAGAGGTGTTTTCAATACTTCTCTCTACATTTTGGTTTCAAATTCATGGGAAGAAAAGAGGGTCGACTAAATTAGGCCATGAGAATAAGAGGATCCTTTCGAACAAAATCTTTAGTACGAGTAGCCTAATCCCGATAACCAAACGACCCCTCGTGTTTTTTCGAATCCCATTGTCTCATTGCGTCCCTAGTTTTGCAACAAATTACCTCACTTGAGGTAAAGTTATAAAACACTATAGATGTATAGAAAAAAAGAAATGGTATCAAAGTCATCAATATTGTGAATGGTCACGTTCTTCTTTTACATGCAATAATGCTTAGGTCACGTTAAAGTTGAAGTCCTTTTGTATGTTGCAAGTTGAGGCCAGTAAGAGTACCTTCATCTGTCAACATAAACATGTACGAGAAACCTATCAAATTGTAGTATCTTTAGCTCATCTTTAATCCAAATCCTGTTCTCCACTTTTCCACTTACTATATAGAACCAGAAAAGTATGGAGCTTTGTGGTCCTCACATATTCGTTTTTGTTTAATAAGTGTGGTGTTGTACACATCTCGACTAGTTCCACAAGGTATTTGTTACTTCCCACCAGTTCCGAGTAACTCAATCTATCCATCAAAGCTTAGATAAATGAATGTGTTTTTGCCTCTACCAAAACTTAAACCTGAGACCTCATAGTTCTCATCTCACTTCATTGAACCACTAAGTCATACCCTTGGGTGTGTGGAGTGGTCCACACATATTCTCTCCCTTCTCTTTCACCTTTATTGCTAAATTTCACATTATTAATCTACTCATATTCTTGTGCTCCTCACTCTAGTTTTCCTCAACTTGTTTCTTTCCTCCCCCTCAAAGAGATGGAAAATAGCAAATGGGAAGGGAAGAGAAACAAGGAAGAGGAGGATGACGAGGAAGATGAAAATGCTGTAGGGGATACCAAAAAGAAGAGGGTCTTGACTCGCTCCGGAAGGAAGGTATCCATGGGAGAGGGGTCAAGGCAGCCTTCCTGTCAAGTTGAGGACTGCACTGCAGATATGGTGAATGCTAAGACATACCATCGCCGCCACAAGGTCTGTGAATTTCATGCAAAGGCTCCAGCAGTACTTATTGATGGACTCCGACAGCGTTTCTGTCAGCAATGCAGCAGGTTCAGAAACTCTGATCTTTCAATATGCAATTTGAGTTTAACTTCTAAATACACTCATCAGATCACCTTAAAGATAACTAACAAGTAACTGCCCATTCTAGTTACTTGGAAAAAACATAGTTAAATTACTCTCTGTAGGGGTAAAATGCATTTATATGCACAGTCTAGAGTGCACACAGACAGCCATTAGGATGCAAACAAACAAGCATTTCACTTTACCAATGACCACAAAAGAACAATTTTTTTAGCTAGAGGTCTATTATATCTACATCAAAGATCATTTCCTGCAACAAGAACAAAAAACAGTGGCACAACGTTGCAAGGCTGATTAGTCTTCTCTCACATTAAGCACACGAAGTAGTTTCCAGGTGAAAAGTAAATTCATCAATATTTTTCTATTATGCTGCTTAAAATTATGCAATACCTTCATGAAAAGCTCAGAGTCTGGTTGGTGAGGATAAAGAGCTTCCAGATTCACGTAACATGGAACCTATGTTGCCACACCCGTGTCGGATCCTCCAAAAATGCACTACTTTTGGAGGATTCGACACACACTTGTCAATATTTTGAAGAGTCCGAGCAACATTATGGAACCAAAGCCAAATCAGAACAACTATTTTAACTGTTATTTCTTTTGTATGAATTTCATTGTGCTCAGTGCTGCTTTAAATTTAAGGTGAAGGCAATTTAAATGAAAAATACATGGAGAACAATCTGTTAGTGGAGTCTCAAATGGGGATTCTTTGCCATCCCCTGCTTTTTCCGGCAGGCAGGAAGCCTTGACTGCTGATTCTCCCCGAGTCCCTGCTGAGATTGATCACATCTGATACTGGTGTATTCTCAGAATCACCATCATTTCCTATAAAGACGGACAAAATATTACTACTACGGAGAAAAAAATATTTTCTCTACTTTCAAACAGGACTGTTACCCAATTTTCTTTTCCAAAACGAAGATTATATTGGGGTAACCTAAAGAAGATTCCCTCTTTTCCTATAAAAGTATGTATCCTCTCAATTATGAAACTCAGTATACACAACAATGATTTTACTGATTTTCTAAGCAGCTGCTTTCCTGTTGCAAAGTCTCGACATAGGTAAAATATAAGTACTGAAAACTCACAATGGTCTGAGTATCTGACAATTGAAACATAAAAGAGAGTAAAAACAGACATTAACAAAAAGAAATTAGCAAGGACAGAGAGCTTTTCTCCCTGTGCACCATTTCCCTTAGTGACTAGAAAAGAACCAATCAGAATTTACTTGACGTGATTTTTCTTGCTCTATTTTGTTCCAAGAGTGTGACATCTTGGTTCTCTTGCCATCCTCTCAGAACTACTTATGCGAAATTTATTACATTATAAATTTATGGTAAGCAGATTTCATCAGTTGGCGGAGTTTGATGATGCAAAAAAGAGTTGCAGGAGACGGTTGGCAGGCCACAACGAACGCCGCCGTAAAAGTGCACATGATCCTCCAGGAGAAGGGTCAAGTTGAACGGGCACCTACTAGTGGACTGATGGGGACAGAAGCTCCCTCTGAAACACATAAGAGTTTTATCACGCTCTCTCTCTTCTGTCATTTGCCATATTTCCTTTTTAACAAAAAATGTTATCTTCAGGTATGCATAAAGTAGTAATTCATTTCATTTGAAATGAAAATAGTATGAAAGAATGTGTCATTAACTTTTGTCTGTTGGTACTTCGATAGTTTGTAGACCGAAAATAAAGCTATCCTGTGTTTCACATGGATGCTGCTTGAAAACTACCCTATCGGACTTGTCATCTCACACTACAAAGTTTCTTTTTTATTTTTTTAATTACCATTACTTTCCTGACAGAGCTCGAGTCTAGTATAAAAAATGCTTTCCACCTCATGCAACAAACAACACTGAATGTGCATCGTAAACATAAACAGTGTGAGAGAAACAGGTAGAATTGACCTTCTTAAATGTAGGCATCAGTTAGTGTTCGACTGAACAGAAGCATATAGAAGTATGCAAAAACTATCTTTCATAAAATAATCATCAATATTGCAGCTAAATAGCTAATAATGATGCACAATAAAGCCTAAGAAGAACACTCATTTGAAGAGTTAAAGAGGAAAAAAAATTAAAAAATGAGAGCACCACAAAACTGAAACTAAAGACACTCGGAGAACACTCATTTGAAGAGTTAAGAAGGAAAAAAACCAAAATGAGAGAACCACAAAGCTGAAATTAAAGATACTCAGATTATCTCATTAAGAAAGTAAAACGTGATTGTGCCAAATTAGTAGCACGACAGAGGGCATATCAAAAGAAACATGCAGACCTTGCTACGGCGCCTCTAAAGCTTAAAGCCAGCAGGCAAACCAGAATAAATATTGGCAGCAATCAAGATATCTTACTAGTTCAAATCACGCTTGATTCCCAACAGTTTGGCAGACAGCTCCCATGTAACAATTGCAGCTGCATTAGCAGGAAACGCCCTCACAATTGTAGGACCTAGACCCATATAGCATCCTCTAAGACCAGATCTTGCATATATCTATCATAATAAACTGAATCAGGCATTTCATCTAGTATTTCAAGTTCCAAAATACAAGAGATTATGGTAACTACCGATTTTAAAACACGAAACGGATTTCTCGTATGGTCTTTCTCTGGGGTAGTTTGAATTATAGTTTTTGCTACATCCAACGGCAGAACTGCTGACCAGCACTGAAAAGAGAAGATGCACAGAATTAATTGGTGTATAAAACATCCACATGGAAAGTTTACAGACAGCATTAAACCAAGCAAGGAAAAGAAAGAGAAGTCATTAAGAATATGAATTCCAACCAAGAATACTCACTGCTATACCGCCAAGACCGCCACTCATTATTCCAACTCCAATATCAATCAATTGGCTAGACTCAGAGGAAGCCCCTTTATGTTGTAGATGCAAGTGATAACGCACATATTCATATGTACTAAAGAAGACAGCGTTTCCGAAAGATTCTCTTAATAAGGTTGTGAAGCCTCCTCGAAATATGCCTATGATCTGGAGAGGGTCTTTGTCAGCTTAAATACACACCAGAAGGAAAATTTGTGTCAATCAAAAAATTTCTCACCCCTTCACATTTTACAGTTTTAAGGGCACACTCAAGAGGACCACCATATCTACTGGAGCTTGGTACCACAGAATCAGCACCCTGAACTTGCATCCTACACTGGCATCATAGATATAATAAGGATGATACTTCCAAGCAACTCTAAAGCAGGATGTTATGAACCCTCACATCACTTACCTTCACCAGTTCTGATGGACATAGAATGAAGCTGATAATAGCTCCTCCAAAGGCAGCTGAAGGAATTATCGCTTGAGGCTGGGGCATACCTCCATCAGGTCCACCCTTTAAAGCAAACACAAAATGTTTGTAATCGATAACAAGTTACTGAGATGTTGTCACAAAAGCGCCGAAGTTCCTAGATACTGTTAACGGTTGTGAGAGTAGTTGCCTTTCAACATAAACTAGTCACAAACAATCTTTGAATTGAATCACAGCGCAAACTCATTGCTCGATGAGCATTGAACTAACCTGCAGCAATAGTTTTGTTTGGGAGTAAATGCCAAATACAAGTGAGCTCTCAAAGGCCATGCCAATGAACGAAGATGTAGCTCCTCGATAGAGCCCCTTAACCTGCCACAGAAAATTGCAGTTCAGGTCATTCAGAACCTTGAAAAGCAGTCCCACACAAGGAGGAAAAAGTTTCCAAAAAATAAGAAAAGAAAGATAATTGAAATATAGACAACAAAAGTTGACCTTTTTTTTTTTTTTGAGAAAGGTAACTTGTATTATAAACAAAGAATACATAAGGAGTATTCTAGTAATACTTACATCCAAAAGTTGCTAAAAGAAAAGAACTCCTATGGAGGTCATAAGAACTCTAAAATACTAGGAATATCCTCTGCATCTTGAGGATATTCATGTTTACACCAAAAAAAGAAAAGAGCCATGCAATTCAACTTCAAATTCTGCATAGAGCAGCTCTTGTTTTTAAAACATCTCTGGTTCCTCTACATCCATATAGACCACCAAATGCAGGCAGGGACAATCTTCCATCTCTCCCTGTGTCCTGACTGATTCCCATCTCTGTTCCAGCAAGCTAGAGCTTCTTTGATGTTCCTTGGCATAGTCCAACTGATGCCCCTTAAGTTGATGAAAATCTACCACAACTTCGCAACCTCTCTACAATGTAGAAAGAGATGATTTATTGTCTCGACCTCACATTCACAAAACCAACACCTGGAACAGATTTGCATGCCTCTTTTCATGAGGTTGTGTTGAGTGAGTGCAGCCTGATTGGCTAACAGCCAAGTGAAGCATGCTATCTTGAGTGGTATCTTGACTTTCCAAATCATCTTCCAAGGCCATCCACCTATATGAGTACCAGGTCTTTGTGAGCTTCTATAAGCCGAGCCAACTGAAAATCTGCCTTGCTCATCTGGATTCCAAAATAGATTGTCCTCATCTGTGTTTAGATCTTTGTACTGCCCTAGAATGTTGAGTAGCTCAACTATTTTATTGACCTCCCAATCATTTAGATGTCTTCTAAACCTTAGATCCCACCCTTGATTATCTCTCATTTCTCTGATTGTAGCCTCTTTTTGAAGGCTCATGTTGAACAAAATAGGGACCCTATTTCTCAGAGTCACCTGATCCACCCATTTGTCTTCCCAGAACAAAGTCCTTCCACCATTCCCTACCTTGATTTTGCATTTGTTAAAAAATTTGATCCATAAATTTCTAATGGATCTCCATACTCCAGCTCCATAGGGTTGTGTGGACAGGTTGGTGATCCACAAATTCTCCATACCAAACCTAGCCTTTATTGTTTCCTTCCAGAGAGCTTGTTCTTGTGAGGCAAATCTCCATAACCACTTCATAAGTAAGCTTTGATTCTGGATTTTCAGATTCCTTATCCCCAAACCTCCTTCCTTTTTGCTGAGAATGACTTGGTCCCACTTCACTAGATGGAATTTATGATTATTAGGATCACAATTTCCTTGCCACAAAAAATTCCTCCTAATTGCATCCATTCTATCAATCACATTTGCAGGCATATGGAAAACAGACATCATATATGTGGGTAGAGCATCTAGCACACTGTTGATGAGTGTGACTCTTCCTCCCAAGGACAAATATTGACTCTTCCAGTTCACCAGCTTCTTCTCACACTTTTCTAGAATGTTGTTCCAGATACCTTTTGACCTGCTTTTGTCACCCAAAGGCATGCCAAGGTATGTTGTGGGGAGATCCCCTATCTTCCCCCCTAGAATATTTGCAAGCATGTTTATCCTAGGCACCTCATTGACAGGAAAGATGAAGCTCTTTCTCCAATTGATGTGTAGGCCTGAGATGGCTTCAAAAAGGATCAGAATTACTCTCAAGTACTTTAGTTGAGAGATGTCTGCATCACAAAATATCAATGTGTCATCAGCATACTGTAAGTGGGAGATGGCCAGGCCTTGTCTGTTATTCATATTAGCATTGAATCCTCTTATCCATCCTCTTGTTTGGGCTGTTCTGAGCATGTCATTTAGGCCCTCCATCGCCAGGATAAAGAGGAAAGGAGATAAAGGATCTCCTTGTCTCAATCCTCTCTCTGATGAGAAAAAACCAGAGGGGGCACCATTTATCAAAATAGAGAACTTCACAGTTGTAGTGCAAAACTTAACCCATTTTAGCCATTTTCCTCCAAAGCCCATGTTTTCCAAAGACTTCCAGAGGAAGCCCCAATGCAGGTGGTCGTAGGCTTTTTCAATATCCAATTTGCATAAAATGCCTGGCACCTTACTGTTCTTTCTCTCCTCCACACATTCATTTGCAATCAAAATTGCATCCATGATCTGCCTACCTTTTATGAAGGCCATTTGTTGGGATGTGCTCAATGAAAAAGGTATAAGATGAGGCTAACAAGCAAAGGTATAAACCTCAATTTCTTTGAAGAAATAGAAGCAGTCTTTTTTGTATAAGAAACAGGACTTGGCGGGTAAATCAATTTTACTTGACAATCAGTCAAGACGGCACAATTTGGCACTTATGTAGAAATCCTCAAGGGAGCTCTGTTTCCTTAGATCTATTTACTGCATACTTCTTCAGTAACCAGAAACTTAGATAAACTTTCAAGGGAATAGGCAAATACAATCATAATTCATAAGCTCAGGAAAATGTTCATGAATATAAATATGTGCAAGTAAAGATATATGACATTTAGTATAGAGAAGACGAGGCTTATCGGGGATGGATTTGAAATAATGGAATCACTCAACTTTATGTTTGATTGGAATTTCAATATCCACAAAGCAGTTGAGTCAAGTAAAGAGATTACACGTTCCACCAACTAAACAGCATTTCAACAAACAGAACGGGAAAATCTCAAAGTTGGATCTTGGAAGAAGTTGAGAGACATACTCCTTCAGTTTTTAATATTCTAGCAGCACAATGCAATCCATTCTTGTACTTTATTCCACAAGCTTCCGTATTGTGTTTCTGGAGCTTCACCTGATAAATGCATTTCACTTAAGTAAACCCACAAGAAGTCACAAGAACCTCCAACACCCGAACAAGTATACTATATATGTCATATTATTAAGATCTTCTCAAAACATAAAATTCTTCCATCTAGCATAGATGACCTTATAACACCGGTTCATTTCAACCTGGTACTATTCATGAACAGTATAAATTTATGCGTAAAACTTCACTAAGATTGCAACAATTAGTAGGTTTGAACCCATAACTTTTAAAATATAATAGGCCCAACGTTAAGAAGTTGAATCCATAGAGTTTAAATTTTGGATCTGCCTGTCTTTGGTAAGACTTTCAACTAACAAATTAAAGCATGTAAAGAGAGAAACTATAAAAATCAACTTTCTTTTTTTGTTAACCGTGGTGTCAAGACCAACTTGTGTGCACCTCGACTAATCCCACAAGATATTTGTCACCTCCCACGAACAATGATCTGAAACTGAGACCTCATGGTTCTCAACCAATATCATTGACCACTAAGGCACACCCTTAGGGGTCGTTGCTACAAATTTATACCTTCAACCAAACATAATATAAATCTGATCCCAAACTTAATCCTGTAATATCCAACTTGGGATTTATTTTATCCCACCTACTAAACTAGTCTAAGAATTATAATCCTAGAACTACAATAACGGGATAATTTAGTTTGTGTACCAAATGAATGAACCCTTAGGTGCTTAACAATCAACCATTTTTTGATTAATAGGCAAAAAGAACTTCTCAATGAATCTAGAGACAAAACTATGCTGCACCTAGCCATCTATACTAAGAAAACAGCAAAACCCAGATGCAAAATTTGTTCAACTCTACCAAATATGATAAAATTCGAATTGCATAAATTCAGAGGATAATGCAAATGGGTATTTCTATATAAGCTTGGAGTAGTAACCGAACCTTGACGGTATCAAAAGGGTGACCGGTAATCACAATAGCAATACCGGCCATCAGACCAGCTACATACTCCTTGTACCCCGAATTTCCATCCATCTTCTCTATTGCTCCAACTCCAGTTGAGCTGGGTTTTTGAAAGGGTTTTAGCTCAGTAAATCCAATAATTTGTTGGCTCTCAAACTAACACCGTGTTTTTAAAAAAAAATTGAAGTTATGTTTGGATTAATAAAGTAAGTTGATTTTGTAAAGATAGTTGGCCTAACTCAAAAGCTAGCTCGAGGTGTGCAAGTTCATATAAGGAGATCAATTTTCAGAGGCGTATTCAGGAGGGGTTTACCATGTTCACGTAAACTCATGCTCTCCTCCTGAAATAATATATAGTAGTGTTATATTTTTTTAAAAAATATTTAAATATAGATATATAAACTCATAGTTGAAGTATCATACCGTGCGATTATGATTGAGTGCACCTCTCTAAGTGAGGTTAGAAATTTGAATCTTTTATTTTCATTTCTAAAATTGGATAACGTCTCTCTAAATGGTTTGGATAGGTAAAAATAATTTTGGACATATAATTTTAAAATTCTAATTATTTTTAGTGATAAGAACCTAAATGTTAAACCGATCAAATTTATATCTTAGATTCACCTTTTCGTAATAGTACACCCATCATCTCAAAATCTTAGATATGCCTCTATCAATTTCTCATCCCTTTACCGATGTGGGACTTCTTAAGAGTAAAGATATGACACTTGGACCTAACTCAATCTCAAAAACTAGCTTATGAGGATTGAAGGGAGGTTTGTTCAAATCCATATAAAGAGCCAAATTTCCCATCCCTCTACCGATGTGGGAATTCGTAACATATTTTTGACTTTTTGTGAGTAATTTAAAGTGAAAACGCCTTTTTAAAAGTTTTGAAAATTCTTAAATTCAACTTCGAGATGAATTTAGTTCAACGCATGAAATAAGTGAAAAAATTATATGGTCAAACGTGTCCGATAGTTTCATAAATATGTTTTTAACTTGACATCCAATTTTAATGTGCATAAACCCACAATTAAATTTATAAAATTAAATAAATAGACGCTCGCCGTCTACGGGGGTGATGAATGACAACCAAAAGGAAGTCAAAGGTGGTTATAACTTCATATCTGAGAAAGTTGCAACATTCTTAATCCAAATTGTTTGCGTGGCTGTTGATCAAGAAGTTAAAACCCATCCCTTTTGTCATAGTAATTATACGTCCAAACAATATTACTACTATGAAGAAATTAATTATTTTTTAAAATATTCATCAAAAGTTGAAGTGAAACTTTGATAAAAAGATTTTATCCATAAAGTGAAATTTTCCTTTAGATAATCAAAAGTTGAAGTGAACTTGAGAAAAATATCTTTTAGGCTTTTAAGTGTAGAGAATAGATTCTCATACAAGATTAGCTCCTTTTTCATTCTACTTTTCATAGGGGATTAGTTTGTTCCTTTGTTCCTACAATTAACAAATGCTATATTTTTTTGGGGTAGAGATTAGCAGACTTTATAACACATACAAAATAGGAAATAAAGTTGAACAAATTGGATTGGTTTGCAGCTCAATAAGCAATGACAACTTCTCTTACATAGAGTACTTTTTATTGACATAAAGCAGCAACAAAGTGGGTGCTGTCAATAACACTTCTACTACGCACACTGGCAATGACGGAACCACGATTTTCACTTAAAGGAAATTCAACTTATAAAAGAGTAAACATATGCAGACAAGAGGGGTTTGCTTAGATGGTGAACAATCTCCTTCCCTCAAACCCAAAGATTGTGGATTCGAGTCAGTAAGGAAGCAAAAAATGGAAACTCTCACAAGAGAGGGGAAAAAAGAAAAAGAAAAAAAAAAAGGCGGTGCGGGTGGGGGTGAGTCTCTCAATATTATACATACATAAAATATAATTTTAACCTATTTTCGCCAAAGGAGGTTCGGATGAACCCTCTTTTGGAACCCTAGCTCGTCCACGATACAGTGTTCAAAAAAGTCCAATGGAATCTCGGTCATTTAGATCTTAAGATCACATCAAAAGGCCAAAAGTTGAGTCTTACATTCTGATCTAACGTCTCAGGTTTCTCCTTCCAACTGGCCGCCTGCTAGATCATTCTGCTTCTCCGGCTTGTAAAGGCTTCATCGACTGTTCTAAAAATGAACCAATGTAGACCAAAAAGTGAGATAAAAGCTCACATTTGCCATATGCAGAAATAAAGGATCGGATTAGGTATCACCAGTATCATTCCTACAGATATAGCATCATGGATTTGAATTATATATCTGTGGAAGTTGTAGCTCTATGGATTTGATATCCATCCAAAGCAGGACGGACTCTTTGAGAGTTGTCTTAGTCTTCCAAAGTATATGCACATGGCCACTGAATTCTATGAAATTGACTTTTTTTCATATGATAAGGACAGTATCCCCTACTCATTACCTTCTTAAGTAGCTGAGTTATTCTGTCTATCTCCGGCAACCCCTTCAAATAATGATGCCCCAGAAGTTTCCATTGCTCCAGCGAGCATATTGCGGCATTAGGATCTACTGCTTCCAAGGAAATATGTCCAATCCAAGCATCTAGATGAAGATTTCATTTTTCTGCAATTCCACATATTAAAACTTACAGAAGCAGAGAATGAGTAACAAAACAAGCAATGGCTCAAGAGAACTCTTTCTATTTCAAGCTAAAAGATCTAATTAGCATGTAGTGCCTGGTAAATCTTGGACCCGCCAAATAAAACTTAATTTATCTACACCGCGATCCTCACTAATAAACATCCCATTCATTGCACTTCCTGTTCGTTCAACACATTATTAGACTCATAATAATTCTTATGCAGCTTTAAATAACAACTCAATGCTTAATGAAATAGCTATAGGGCCAAAAAGACTGTCCAATTTGGTTTAGTCACCAGTGAATGCATCGGATATGTCCATAATATTGAACTGTTTTTGTCAGTGTAACCTCCCATAGGGTTACCATAACAATACTGTAGAGAATTAGTGTAGCTATGATACCCAAAGTCCACATAATCGTTTGGTATCTTTTTAATGACAACGGAGGCATATGGGTCAACTTGTATGCACCATGATTATGCCACCGACTAATTGACCATCACACTATTATCTAATAATTGTCTGAACAAGCAGCTGCAGAAACCTGAACCTCTGTGCCCCTAGTGAGGAACTGCAACTGTTATAAATGCAAGAATCCCCCATGCAACTACGTAAACATTAACAGCATGCCGCAAATAAAGGATGATCCTCCCACAGCGACGAGGTAGATGTCCCTTAGCTGGGCTGATCTATAGTTATCTCTAAACCTCCATGCTCTGGTGCAAAGACACGATCAAAAGCATGCTTGCCTGCTATCCAATTCTGTCACGAACTGCAGTTACTAGTTCATTTCATATATAACTAGCACTAGCCAATATCTAACCGCTAACACTAAGTTGATTGGAGCAACATCTTAAAAGAACAAATTCCTTTCAAAGCCGGAATGAAAGACGATAAGTACTTCCTGTAATCCTGTTGAAAAAGAACTGAACACTTCGCTAAGTTACTAAACTTAATATTCGTTTTTCTTCAAAAGCACAATCTTCTCCCACTCATATTCCTTTATCTTCTAAAGTATTTTAGTTCCCTAACTTTGAAAAGTGAAAACGGCATGGAACAGGCTCTAGTCATGCAGCCTGTTGCGAGCTAATGAGACCTCAATCCCAAAGCCTTTAAAGTATTCTTTTGATAGGTGCCTCTATTTTTATGGGGAATTCACTGCTTATAGATCTCGCTAGTGTCCCCCTCCTACTCCTGCAACCTTCCGACTCATGGAAGTATACAATGACAATGTCAGGGCATGGGTGCTAGATCGTGAGACTACCTACTGAACATCAGATTAAAGCTTCATGGATAATTAGTGGCCTCCTCCATGACCTTTTGGATCTAAAAGCTTCCTCAATGAATGCCAGAGAATGAGCACTAATCTAGTAGTTGACTCTAGCGAAGATGATGACATTAGCAAATTATATTTCCTTACCAAGATTGAATCAAACTATTACTAAGTAAACATAGATGCTTCCAAAATTCTTTCGACCCATGAAGGCAGCAAAAAAAGGTCTTATCTAAGAAGAAGAAATCCATATACAAAATTAACATTTTGCTTCTAGCCCTTTAGTAGAAACATAAGTAGTCCACAATGACATGTTTAATTAATTCCTGACTAGTGGCAGCATGTAAAGCAATACTTTTGATGATTCATCTCAAGATTTACCATATTTCTCCAGATACCCCTGCAATCACAAATTAACCAATTGTTAAGTTCAGGGAAGAAAGAGCCTCAACCACAGTCAGCAAGTACTGTTTCAGAGTGTTGACTCACCTCAATCAGCTTAGCTACTTTTGTCTCAGATACAGAGAGATATTGATTGATGGATTCAGTCGTATCAGGAACTTGATCGGGTGTCAAAGAGTTAATGATCTTTTCTACTGCTTTCTTAACAATCATCTTGTACGCATCCCTCATCAAAAGACCTTCATGCCAAGTTGGCTTAAGCAATTCTTTAACTAATTCCACAAGAGCAGCACGGAAATGCTTCATAACTCCTGACTCATAGTTCACAGATCCATCTCTCCTAAAGTCGGTATGAATTTCACAGCTGGGTCCGAGCTTCTCTAATTTTGATTGTTTCCTCTTTTGGCCTCTGGGATTAACTGATCTTGAGTGCTTTTCTTCTTTTGAAGAGGTATTCATGTTCTCTTGATGGGCTATAGCTCTATCAGCTGTTTTTCTTTCATTAGCAGACAAATCTTTCTCGGCGGTGCTGGTTTGCTCAATGCTGTCACGAATCGGATCATAAAGACTTTCTGGAGGGGGAATAATTTGACTAAGAAAGGTTGATGGACGAAAAGGCGCAGAAGTTTCCCAGTCATTAAAATTCACCTTGGTCTTATAACCACATGAGTGTTCCGTGTCCCCTGATAAATCAGTCCAAGAAAAAGATTCAGTTCCACAACCAGGAAGTGCTGAAGACTTGTTATGCAGAGACATTGACCTAGTTATACAGTCTCGGCTACGGTCTAAAAGCTTCTGATCACCAACAGGGTCTAGGTTTGAAGAGTAAGAAGTGAGATAAGAAGGCCACCTATCCACAGAGCGATTCAAGAATGGCAAATGATGATAATCGGGCATAAGGTGGGTCCTCTTATAACTTGTGCCATCCAAAGCTGAGGCATAAGAGGGACCTTCGGTGTTCAGATACTTGTAAGATGGCAGTACTGAGCTACTTGGATGCATTCCACTACAATAGTTATCTTTATTAAGAGAATTATCTTTGAGTAATGGTGGTGACGAGCTGCCATAACTAGCCAAGTATGATTTATATCCAAAAGTTTCTCTTCCAATGTCTCTAAACGGCATGCTTGACCAATCCTCATCTTTATGCATATGCAAATCATTTTCACTGTTCAACCTTTGATATCCTCCACATTGAACTTCAGATGATGCAAAATCAGAGAAACAATACGATGCTGGTCTCTCGGTGGTATATTTTGAACCTATAACACAGAAGTTACTTTATCAGGAATACTAAAGTTAGGGTTAACCAATTCCAAAAAAATAGTTTGATATTACCTTCACCATTTATGACTTTGTTTTTCATCTTTGCAGTATCTAAAACACCATCCTTATTACGGCTAATTACATAATCCCTTACGTGAAGGAACCTACATGAGCTCCTCAACATTACCAGTTTCAAAAAAATAATAGGAACCTACATGAACTCCTGTTGATAAACCAACCTCTAGAATAAAATTCACATCTATCTGCTGGTCGTTTGTTTCCACCTCTAGAATCAGCAGGAGGGGTCAAACTTCTGGCCCAAGTCTCCTCAGCATCCAACCTGGAAAAACCAGACCTTCAAGAGTTCTACTTGAAATTTAACCAAAACAAACTTCCAACAAGGAGATGTTCAAAAGCAGCATGAGATCCTACTTCATAGTATGATTAGAAAGTTGAAAGAGAACCAGTATAATGAAACCTTGATGATGTTTGTTGTAAATCCTGTAACACTTCATGATGACCTCCTTCAGTGAATTCAGCACTTACTTTTTGACCAAACGGCTGGTTTCAAGGGTTGTTTCCCCATTATCACATTTAAGAGCTTGGAGATCAGAAAGTACAACGGTTCTTTTTCCTGCAAGAGCCCCATCAGGATCCCCGTGAATATCTACAAGTCTTATAACGGGAGATTAGAATGTTCCCCATTTAATTTAACAAGAATTCTCACCATCCAAACTTGAATAATTCTTTCCTCTTCTTTCATCAGAATTAGATATCCTGCAACTGTCATTACCCTCTTCAGTCATAGGGGTATCAGGATTTGCTACAGGTTTTGGAGTACAAGATCCTGATCTTAAATGATCTTTAAGACCCAAAGGCTCCAGAATGCGGGTTCCATCTACAAGGAAGAAAGATCAGAGTAAGTCACAGACCAATTCAACATCTTTGTGGTGGATTCCCTGACGATTGTTTATCCAACAACTCTGTGTCTCTGTCTAAGCATGAAACGATTATCTATTCCTAACAGATCTACTAAGGTACATGAAACCTTATTGCTAAATAATTAGGCAAGCACATATGGTGGAATACACCTCAAGGAGATTCTATACTTCATAATTCCAAATTTTCCATATTTAGGGGATGCCAATAGGGCAGTGGGAGTTGGTTTGAGGAAGAGAAGCCTTCCTCCGGTAAAGATATGGCACCTGGGAGTGGGCCTAACTCAACCCCAAAGCTAGCTTATGAGGGGAGTATTGCCAAGTTCATATAAGCAGATCACCAGTCCATTCTCCCAACCAATGTTGGACTCAAACCACTCTAACACCCCCCTTCCCGCCCAGGCCAAATTGGAGCATGGACTAGGAGTCCAGACAGGGATGGATCTGGCTTTGATACCACATAAAGATATGATGCTTAGGCCTAACTCAACCCAAAAGCTAGCTCATGAGGGGAGGATCTAAGTTGCTTCGATTCATCACTTTCGGTGCCGCACCCATGTCGACACGACGTTGGTGTGGGTGTGGGATCCGTATCCGATCTGGTCAACCGGTTTTGGATACTTTGACCAAATTCAAGGGAGAAAGTTTGGACAAATTTAATGATTTTTGTTATCAAAACAAAACCTAAGGTGAAATTGAAGAAAACGAAATATCTTGTATATATAAATTTCTACTGCCACTCTCTTTCCTTTTATCTCCTTCCAAGATTCTCCTTTTGATCATTATTTTTTACTTGAGTTCTCCACACCATCTCATAATTTAGGTTTTATAACTCTATTTTTAGCCGAGTACCCTCACCCGTATCCACACATGGATCTGTATCACCGAATCTTAAAATTTAGGTCATAGAGGATCCAACCTCTAGATCTGCACCCGAGTCCAAGCAACTTGGGAGGATTGCCTAAGTCCATATAAGCAGATTGTCGGTCCAATCCCCAATCAATGTGGGACTCTAACACCTTCCTTATTCCACCAAGTTATGTTAGATTTCTTCTCATTTTTAATCTAGAAGGATAATTTTCCAAAATCCTCAAATCAAAGCAGTCATGATTAAAGTCACCAGCCATGATGAGTTCTCCGGCAATAAGAAGGTTGGTTGTGCTTATAATAACTACTTTGGTCTTTGAGCCATCTTTCCCTTTTAAGAAATAGTTCTATTTTTTCAAAAGGAATTTTAAGGAATCATTCTATTAGCCATCCAAGAGTGCGGCTTAATGATCAATCAAGTGGGTTGAGAACCATAAGGTTTATGGTTCAAACTGAGGGTGATTTATTTCCATCATTCCAATCCTTGGTGAACAAAGTTACCAGGTACCTGTGCTGGTGGAAGATAGTAGTAACTGTGGAATTAGTCGAGGTGTGCACAAGTTGGTCGAACACCATGATTAAAAAAAGGAATAGTTCTATTAATATGACTGAAAATTCCCGATGTACAAGTGATATGCAAAAAGTAGAGAACCTACACACGTTGGTCTCTACAACTAGAACACAATCATCTATGCTTAATGTCACGACCCAAGCCTAGGGCCTAGACGTGACCGGCGAATGGGGAACCCGAAGGAACCCCAAACAAGCCTCATAGCATATCATTACACATCCTTGGTCGCGGAAGCAATTAAAATGACCATAAGCGATAAGCATAATCAAGGGGGAATCGGGACTAAGGGAGCAAGAGAAAGAGAGAATGATACATAAATACCATAGGTGAGTCAAGCTCAAGCATAATACACAACTTGTCTAACACCACCTCTAAACATGGGTACTTAGCGGGGGCCAAGCCAAATTACCGGCTCACCCTCATAGTCAATACATAACTAAAAAGGAAAAGTCTTATACATAACAAGAGATCATAAGCAACGTCCCCGGAATGGAGGATTTGAGAGATGTGTATTGGTGGGGAGGCATGAAGAAGGACATTGCCAAATTCGTCTCCGGTTGTCATAGTTGTCAACAAGTCAAGGCCGAACATCAAAGGTCGGGTGATCTAACCCAAGACATAGAGATTTCTACTTGGAAGTGGGAAGAAATTAATATGGATTTTGTAGTTGGTTTACCCAAGACTAGAAAAGGTTTTGATTCTATTTGGGTGGTGGTTGATAGGATGACAAAATCGGCTCATTTTCTACCGGTAAAGACAACATATGAGGCGGAAGATTATGCAAGGTTATATATTCATGACTTGGTAAGGTTGCATGAGATTCCTCTATCCATCATATCGGACCGTGATACTCAATTTACTTCACACTTTTGGAAGTCCTTTCAAAGGGGTCTAGGTACGAGAGTTAAGCTTACTACGGCCTTTCACCCGCAAACGGATGGACAAGCCGAAAGGACTATCCAAACACTTGAGGATATGCTTAGGGCTTGTGTATTAGAGCTTAAGGGTAGTTGGGATGATCATCTTCTATTGATTGAGTTTGCCTATAACAATAGCTATCATTCTAGCATCGGTATGGCTCCTTTTGAGGCTCTCTATGGGAGGCGTTGTAGATCACCGGTTGGGTGGTTTGAGGTTGGTGAGGTGGCCTTGTTAGGACCAGATCTAGTTATGGAGGCTCTTGAGAAGGTTAGGATGATTAGAGAAAGGTTGAAGATGGCCCAAAGTCGCCAAAAGTCCTATGCCGATGTGAGGAGAAGGGGATCTTGAATTCCGAGTTGGTGATTGGGTCTATTTGAAGGTGTCACCCATGAAGGGTGTGGTTCGTTTTGGTAAGAAGGGCAAGTTGAGCCCAAGATACGTGGGTCTTTATAAGGTGATGAGGAGAATTGGCAAGGTAGCTTATGAGTTGGAATTGCCTAGCAAAATGGATTTTGGTTCATCCGGTATTTCATGTGACTATGTTGAGGAAGTGTGTGGGGATCCGAATGCCATTGTGCCTCTTGATGTTGTGGGTGTTGTTGAAGATAATTTGACCTATGAAGAGGTTCCAGTCCAGATTTTAGATAGACAAGTGAAGAGGTGAGAAACAAAGATGTGGCTTCCGTTAAAGTCCCTTTGGAGAAATCAACAAGTTGAAAGTGCTACTTGGGAGGCCGAAGCGGACATGCAAAAGCGATATCCTTATCTTTTCCACTCCACTCAAGCTAAGGTATTGATCTAAGCCCTTTATAAAATCTCAGGTCTTAAGTTCAACCCCCATGTCATTGCATACATTCATGTTTAAGTTGACAAGTTCATTGTGGTTTTACAAACTATGTTGAGGTTTTTGAAATAAGGTGTAAGTGCATTGTTGCATCCTTATGTGGGCTGAAATTGCCATGTTTGTGTCTCTCATGTACGTTTCTTTAACATTCGGGGACGAATGTTCCCAAGGGGGAGATATTGAAACGACCCCAAAAATGCCCGAAAATGTGCTTCGGAAACACCTATAATCTGTATTTTCCATATATCTCAAAATCTGTGCATGATTTCAGAAATTCGACTTCATATTCTTATTCATGGGGTCAAATTGAGTGGGAATGGGTCTAACCCGAATTTTAGAGCAACCGTATCAAAATTCGAAAATCGCAAAAAATGCGATTTGGAGGGTCAACTTTAAAGGGGCATATCTCTTAGCACACAAGGAACTGGAAGGGCCACACCTATTAAATTAAAGCCTTTGAGTTAGCTTTCCAACGCACTTGGTTTCACCTCATTCCGAGTTAGGATGAGGAGTTATGACCATTTTCGTAAAACCTGTCTGTGCAGATTTGCAATTTCCAGTGAGCTATTTTTTTTAGCGGTTGGGACGTTTTTTTTATAAAAAGGGAATGTCCCATACTTAGTCATTTTTTTAACTTCAAAAACACTCTCTAAGCCCTCTCCAAAATTCCACCAAGATCTTCAACCAAATTCAAACATCTCAAGCTCTAATTCCGGATTCAAGACTCAATCTCAAGCTTCAATTCTCCATTCCAATCTTCATCAAGGATTCTCCAAAGTTGAGGTATGTGGGTTTGATTGTGGAAACCTTCCTTTCCACAAGTCCAACCATTTATCCTCTATTTTACTTCAAGTTTATGGGTCCTTATGGTTATTTATGAACTCTTGAAGTATGGAATTACTACTACACACTATTATGGTCTATTTTGCATATTATCATGAAATGGAATTATTATGTGATGTTTATGGTTTTCATGCTTCCATGATCAAATTATGAAGGTTGATATATATATATATGTATGTTGTTGGTGGGCTGATTTATATGGATTTTGGAATTGGTTGGACTTAGTACTCTTGAAATACATGATTTTATTTACATGAACAATAGCCCACCATGTGTTTGATAAAATGCCATTTATAGAATTCTTAGGAAATGGAAGGTCCAATGTACGTCCTATGAGTCGGATGGTTATATAATTATTGAAATGATGATGAAATGGACACATGTATATGATTTTCTCTATATAAGTGTTGTGAGTCGACCAAGCCTAGCTCGGGGGGTTGTAGGCCCGGGTAACCGTATCGAGGGTTGGTACCTTGGTTGCCTAGTACGGGGGGTAGTAGGCCCGTATAACCATATCGAGGGGTTTGTACCTTGGTCCCTAGCTCGGGGGGTGGTAGGCCCGGGTAACCACATTGAGGGGTTTGTACCTCTTTCGCCTCTCCAAGGGGGTGGTAGGCCTTGGAAATACTATATTGATGGTCACTCGCCACACATGTACTACGTCCCACTAAATATGATTTTTATGTAAGCATCATTATACATATCATCTCATTTATGCTATCTATCGGGTATGATTATGCATTTTTCCTATGATGTCCATCTATTGTAGCATTGCATTGCATCCCATATACTTAGTACATTCAAACGTACTAATGCATACTCTATGCCTACATGATGTCACCATGTAGGGACCGGAGCACCGCTTGACCATCCTCCTCCGCGTGGCTAATACGATTTTCTAA